CCCCCAAAACCCCAAAACCCCATAATAAGAAAATTAGAAGAGGTTTTATCTTAGTGAAAATTCATATTGGAATAATAAATTGCAATATAGAAATGTTCATGGTAATTTATCATAAAAATATTACAATATAATAATTTAAGCATTAATGAAATCCTATATTATTTCTACGATAGCTGTGTCTGCCTTTTCAGTGCTAGTAGCAACGTAAAACACAACATACTAGAGAGGGTTGAGTGATCATTTCATTAAATTCCTTGACATTAACAAGAATTATTATCCCTATAATTTCAACAGGACATATTATTTTGGAGGATCTTTCGGAGGTAAAGAAAATGACTCCACTCCAATTAATAGAGTGCCTGTTGTTTTCGTTCATGGCGCTGGAGATAGAATCTATGGTGATGATCCATCAAATAATGGGTTCAGGTACACCATTGAATATTTCTTGGATCATGGCTATACAAAGTCGGAACTCTATGGCTCTATGTGGGCTTTTGCGGATCTCCCACCAAAATAATATAACCTAGTCTCAGATACTGAGTATATTATCGCCATTCGCAGATTTATTGAAGCAGTTTTGGATTACACAGGTGCTCCTTAAGTTGATGTAATATCTCACTCAATGGGAGTGCCCTTATCAAGAGCTGCTATCAAAGGAGGAGTATACCCCATGCAAAATATTGGAGACATCTAAATGAAACCTATCAATGTCAAAATCAGAACTTTTATTGGAATAGCAGGTCTCAACCATGGTGTCTACTATTGCTAATTTAGTTTTATCAGATACCTATTTTTGGGTTGCAATGATAAAAACGGTTTCTACCCTGGCAACATTGTCAATGGGAAAGTTGTAAATCAATCAGAGTTTGTTCATAATTTGAATGAAGATAAGACCAAAGAAGCTGACAATGCCTATGCTTTGATTTCACTCCACGACTATTAAATCTTCTTCAACGGAGAGTATATGTCAGGTTTCCCTACAATGGATGCTGGCTTTGTATTCACTAACCCTAATTATACTCATCTAGGCTTGAGAGATTTGACTGCTGATTTTTAGTACAAACTTCTCAATACTAATTCATCTGATGATGCTTCTTTATCAGAGTAAGTAGATTTAATGGTAACAAAAATATACTCAAACAGTTAACACGATACTGTATCAGAGTAAAGATCTCTACTTTTATAATGAATCTTCATCTCGTCTCAATTAATATGATTTGATAGAAAAACTTATCTAAATTTAATTTCATCATTCAAACATCGCTTGTATCCCTTATTGTGGGGTTTTGGGGTTTTGGGGTTTTGGGG